ATCCAAGAGTCGCTCACTGGTTTTGATGTCCACACCTGATTTAGATGATAGTGATAAGAGGAGTGAGGAAAATGTTGGTTTAATGCAGCTGACACTGTCATTTCAATATTGAACAGGAACATCACAAATCAACAATTTTTTAATTTTTATTTTTCCAACAATAAAAGTTTCGTAAACCTAACTGAGCATTTTTGCTGCCTACATCTTTGGGAACATGAACTAAAAACGCACAGATATTACACACTTCAATATAATACTGCTGTAAAAATACTTGGTTAAGTTATATTTATTTATTTACCATTATTTAACCAGGCAAGTCCAGCTGAGATCTCTTTTTCAAGGGAGGCCTGGGCCTGAAGACAACCTATTTTACAATTTTTTGGGGGTGGGTGAAACTGGAGTACCCGGAGAAAACCCACGCAAGCACAAGTAGAACATGCAAAGTCCACACAGAAAGACCCCATGTCCGAAGTGGGGATCGAACCCAAGACCTTCTTACTGTGAGGCGTCACACTAACACCCTGAAAATTTAGCAAAAGCTAATTCTAAATCATTAAAATAACCCAGTCAACCCATGAACGTTCTTCGACAGACAACATGAGTCACATGTTGCTCCCTTAACTCTTGTCACCAACATTCCACAGCTGGATTTGGGTTCATRTATTGTCACCTGGTGGATAAGTGGCACAAATATGAACAAAATGTGTGACAGCTTTCACCCTCAGCTGTTAACATTAACATTGATCAATAACATTTATAGACCTCAGTCTAAATTTAGCCTATAAATTTAGCAAGTGGTGATCCACTAATAAATTTTAAAATTAGCAAAAGCCCAAAAGCACTAATCAGGAAATTAGTTCCCCTATTAGTGCTTTAGTGCTTTAGTGGAACTGTGCCTGGTAAGTTATRATAAAGGGTGTTTATTTTATTTGTTTTATAAGAAACCTTCCAGAAACTTACAGAACATTTAAAAAAAAAACCCAAAACAAACAAAACCTGGTGGAACAATCAGAGTTTTTTGTCGCACTTGTTTTTCAGGGCTTTCCCGTTTTCCTTTACACCACCTCYATCAGCAGCAAAAGACCTTCTGTTGCAAATAACTTCAGAAATGATTCACCGTATGTGTAACCTAAACTCATGTTATGTCACAGCAAGCGTACATTCACAAATAATTTTCATTTACACACACACACACACACAGAGAGAGAGAAACTTGTGATTAGTGTGAAATCATCACTTAAAACGTGTTACCTGTCTTTGTAGAACAAAAAGATTTAGTTAATTACTGTTTGASTCACTGGAGAAATCAGCTTAAAACTGACCTCAGATGAAGAAAACAAGAGTTTTACCAAAACATCCAGAACATTCATCCATCTGCTCTGAAATTTTTTTATCATTACAGAAATACAAAACAAAGATGTGGACTGAAAACATGAAAGCAAAGGTAAGCTAATAAATAAGAATAGCATTTTTGAAGGAATTTCTATATACACTCTTAATGTTAGCACAAAATCCATAAGAACTGTCGGAGTCAGTGTTTGCTGAGATGATTAGCTGTGGCGGCCATCTTGAATTTTAAAATCTTCAGTCAAAGCTCAGTTATGCCCCACTTTTACAACATCTCAAGCCTGGAACTAGACACCCTCTGGCCTCCTTGGTATGATTTCTGAATGAACTGAAGTGGGGGGGTGGGGGGTCGAAGACAACCCACCCCGATGCACCTCTATGCTGCAAAACAAAGTAGTAACAGAGCAAATTTTTGTCCATTGTTTTCTTTAGATAACGAGTTATGGTTTTCCTCTTGTGCATCATTTGGTAACAGTGGAGACGGCCTGGTCCCCTCAGCTGGTCACCGATGAAGTACAGGCTGAAAGTGCAGTTGGTCTTGTACAGATAACTTTAATATCAGTCCTCATCATTTAAGCAGACATCTGGCCCGACTGCTCAACAGGTGTTTACACTTAAACGATCCTGCTGATATAATAAACTTTATCGGTGACCAAATGAGGGAAGCTTGATGTCGCTCAGGCAACTTTGTATTTTAGAAGCAGAGGATTGGTAAAAACTGTAGTGTGTTCAGGAAGTGGTTGAGTACTAACACCTCCCTCTGTATGAATCAGCCTGTAGGAAAAATAAACCCACATGACAGGAAGAGAATCACTTGGGGTGAAACGTGACACCATAACGATCATCTTGTCTGATAAAGTTCAGGTTGAAAAGAGCTGAGACATCTGGGAAGTGACTCTACATCCTGACTTTGAACAAAACCGTTGCTCGCTTAGTGTAAATCAGACAATTAATATTCCCCCTCCCCTCTGGAAGACAGGGTTGTGTATTGGCAAGAATTTGGCGATACAATACATCTCATGACAGAGGGGTCACGGTACAAAATATCCCGATATATTGTGATACTGTAACAAGGTGATATATTGCAATTTTTTTGTCCAAAAATTCTATTAAATAAATACCTCTTACTGGAAAAAAAAATGAAAAACCAAAATTCATTGTCTCAGAAAATTATAATATTACATAGACATACTTTTGACACATTTAGCTGTGCTCTGCTTTGTATGTATTTTATTTTATTAGTTTCATATTTCTTATTACATCCATGTTTTCAATTATTAGATTAAATTTGCATATAAATAGTTTGATATCGATATTCTCTTACACCCCTACTGGAAGAAGAATGCAAATACAAGTTGAGGCTTATGTTTTTATAATTCCAACATATCTACTGTAAGTGCATGTAAGAGGTGAGCTCGTTTGTGTGCTCGTGCCAGTGCCTGTAATTATCCAACCCTCCTCCTGTCTGTGTGAACATGCTGAGCCAGCTTGGATAAAGATCTRTGGCAGGGCGGCACAGTAGGATGATGACTTTGGCACGAGTGTTCCTGGCTGACATTGGGAGAGTTGGGCATGCGGGCAGCTGTGGCACGGGCAGAAAGCAATGTTGGGCAAAATTCCCAACCATRCTGGCTGGAAGACCGGCTGGACAGCTGACAGGGTTAATGGCTTAATTGAAGCTCAGATTAAGGCCTTGACTTCTATGTGGCCTTGCACGTGCTCAGACTGAGGCAGTGCATCGTTCTACAGTATAAATAACTGTGGAGCATGAAGACATGGTTTATTAAATAGAGTTTGAATGAACTGCTATGACTGACGTAGTTTAAAAACGTGTCAATCCCCTTTATTTCTGATCATTAGCTTGTCAGTCTGATAAAATTAACAGAGTTAAAGCTACCTACAGCTGGTAAGATATAAATGTTCCACAAGACACTAAAAAAGATCTGAACTACAGCTTTAATTTCACACAGAGTACAGTAGCTTTGTAAAATGTGAATTCACACACACAGCAATAAGAGTAATACATTCATGTAGTACTTGGTACATGCACAGTACAAATTACACCACATGTGGCCCCATGCTTCTCTCAAAGTCCATCTGTGATTCGGTAATGGTTTTTTAAATAAATARTTAACAGGCAAACAAACATGGGCCAAAAAATAAAAAGATTTTTAGCAGCAAATAAATTTTGCTGCAGTATCCAGTAATACTATGTCCCCTCCTGAAAAGAACTGTGTGTGTCGGTTGCGTGAATGCCACAGAGAAGTCTTTTATTGAAACGAGCCTCTAGGGATTTGTACTCAGACAACAGACACTCATTGCCAAAAACGACAACGTGAGAGCTTCTTTGTTCATGTTGTAGGTTCATTACACAGCAGTGCATCCAGCCGATCCATTGTACTGCAGCGTAGTACGAACGGTGGATGAGAATTTCTGCTTCCAAACATTTCAAACTCAACAGATCCTCTGACTTTTAGAGTTGAAATGTAAAGATCCAAAACGTAAAACTATTATTGAAAGGAGAGGAAGAGGAGGATATTGTCACATGGCCACACAGGCTGTCACAATACCTCAAACATGCACTTAACTTATCATAGTAATAAATGGCAAAATCACTGACATTTCATATATTTCTTTTATTCTCAAAGAGTGTAAACCTGCTCTACATGAAAAGGGTTAAATCCACCTGTAAACAACGAACAGTCACACTATCACTGTGCGTAAAAGTGGTCACTCTGACTGTGCTGATTTTGTGGTGAGGAAAGCCTCAGACGAGTCTGAGAAACCCTAACCACCGGCTTCAGCAGCCTGTCACCATCTTCTTCCTGAAAGAAACAAGCGTGCAGGACTTACCGGTTTGGTGATCAGGTGTGGATGAAATTAGTTGAAGACAAGTGTCATCTGCTCCACAGGGCCGAAGTAGCAGGTGCAATTAAAAATGCCTGACAGAAGAAGAAAACCACAAAGCTGGTAAACGAGGATCGCCCCCCACTCTTTCTCCCTCTGTTCTCTATGTGTGTGTGTGTAATTGGACATAAACACTGAGCTGGCTCAGACTCAGTGAGTGAGCTCACAGTGCGTCACTGCTGCAAGCTGAAACCCCCGTCACTCTGCGTAAACCTGCTCTGCTGGTCATGGTCTTTCCCCCCTCATGCAGGTGGCTGCAGGTCACAGCCTGCTGGACGGAGCAAAACATCCACACTGTGGCCTGAAAACAAGACAGTACACACTGACTGAATACAAGTAGATTTAAATGATTGTAACATTTGGTGCGGATTCAGATCCCACAAATTCCTTTTCCTCACTTCAAATCTGATGCTTTCCCCACTTTGARTAATTCATATTTTGGAATTTCCTTTTTTTCATCACAGGATCATATTGCAATAAAACAGACACATAATACAACAGTGTAAAGGTTTCCACTTTTTTCTWTTCATAATACTGGTAAATGTAAAATCAGTGAATGAGAGGGGGTTTTGTTTAATGGGTCAGTGAGTATCAGCGATTCATTCCAGTGACACAGATAAATCTTTGTGTCGTTTTTCCTCTTTCARTTATCAACACAAATCTTCCCTGTATGGATATGTGAGGGGGGGTTTGTGTGAGGGAGGAGACGACTGCGTGTGTATATTTCACAYACGTCACAGCGAACCTCATTGTGGGTCAGTGGGTTTAAGGAAACGTTTTCCTGAGTCATGTTGAATGTTGAGGGAGAAGCAGTTGCAATGCCATCTGCAACACAGCCGGTGCATAACTCCTTGTAATCCCTCCCCAACTGCAGCATGCATTATACGCACAGAGAGACTTTTAAAGGAGATACTTTGTTCAATGTAGAAAAGACCCCACTAAAGACATCATAGGAAGTTTGRCAAAAGTCTGACTGAAGTTTTTACAGGCATCAGAAAGTTGGATTTTATATTTCTGAATATAGATTAGTTTCTCACACACACTGATTTTCTGATGGGCAACATCGCTTCCCTTGACTTTTTTTTGTAACTTCAGTAGAAAACGAAACCAAATATTAGTTTATTTATTTCTTCATCATCAGTGACTTTTTTAAGTAAGTGAGAAGATAAGAAAGAAAATAAGAAAAGTGAAAAGAGCTGAAACTACAAATGTATGAAATATACTCAATAAGACCACAAGACACCCCCCCCAACAACCGCACAGACATACAGTATATACATAATGACACACTAATATTTTCACCCACATCTACATATATGCCTGTATGTATTATACGTACAAATGCATCCCYACACCCCCWTATGTGTTATGAGCATGCATACCTATCCATGGTTTCTCCCATAGAATATTTAATAGTGACTGTGAAGAGCCCAAGACCCAGCCCCCAAGACCCGAGGCAGACAAAGAGGGGAGCCAGAGCCCGAGACCCCAAGAGCGACCCCGAGCACAGAGCCCCCAGGGCCACCCACGCAGGACGAACCACCCACCCACCAGATTGGACCACATGTGGGAACCAGAAGAGCTCCACGGGCAGCCTCTCATGTTGGTGACTGTCTCGAAGTCTTTTATAAGAAGTCACCGTGAAGTGGGTTACAGCCGTCRTCCTCACCCTGGTCCTGCATCAGCCTCAGTTTCCCAAAAGACTAACTCCTCCATCCACAATGATTGTGCTRTCATCTTCAACAAAATCTTTGTGATCTCCGTCCGTCAGTTTTCTGCCGTTATCCGGGGTCGGGTCGCGGGGGCAGCAGCCTAAGCAGAGAGACCCAGACTTTCCTCTCCCCAGCCACTTGGATCAGCTCGTCCGGAGGAATCCCAAGGCGTTCCCAGGCCAGTTGAGTAACATAGTCCCTCCAGCGTGTCCTGGGTCTTCCTCTGGGCCTCCTCCCAGTGGGACGTGCCCGGAACACCTCACCAGGGAGGCGTCCAGGAGGCATCCTTACCAGATGCCCGAACCACCTCAACTGGCTCCTCTCGACCTCTCGATGTGGAGGAGCAGCGGCTCTACTCTGAGTCCCCCCGGATGACTGAGCTTCTCACCCTATCTCTAAGGGAGAGCCCAGACACCCTGCGAAGGAAACTCATTTTGGCCACTTGTATCCGCGATCTCGTTCTTTCGGTCACTACCCAAAGTTCGTGACCATAGATGAGGGTAGGAACATAGACCGACTGGTAAACCGAGAGCCTTGCCTTCTGGCTCAGCTCTCGCTTCACCACAACAGACCAGTACAGCACCTGCATCACTGCAGATGCAGCACTAATCCGCCTGTCGATCTCCCGCTCCATTTTTCCCTCATTCATGAACAAGACCCCACGGTACTTGAACTCCTCCACTTGGGGCAGGACCTCCTCCCCGACACGGAGAAGGCACACTACCCTTTTCCGGCTCAAGACCATGGTCTCAGATTTGGAGGCACTGATCCTCATCCCGGCTGCTTCACACTCGGCTTTGAACCACTCCAGTGAGAGCTGGAGATCAGGATCTGATGAAGTCAATAGGACCACATCATCTGCAAAAAGCAGAGATGTGATCCTAAGGTCACCAAAAAGGATCCCCTCAACACCTTGGCTGCGCCTAGAAATTCTGTCCATAAAAGTTATGAACAGAATCGGTGACAAAGGGCAACCTTGGCAGAGTCCAACTCTCACTGGAAACGAGTCTGACTTACTACAGGAAATGCGGACCAAGCTCTGGCACCGGTTGTGCAGGGACCCAATAGCCTGTTTCAATGGGCCTGGTACCCCATACTCCTGGAGTAACCCCCACAGGAGTCCCCGAGGGACATGGTCGAACGCCTTCTCCAAGTCCACAAAACACGTGATCTAGCTTTTTTAATTTTGTCGTAGCGATTGTAAAGATGGCTGTATTTCCCTATAGCCACGRCCATCTGATTCTCAAACCCTTTGTCAGGACAAAAGCTGCTGTCTAGAAGCGGAACATAAAAAAAAACAAGGCCACAAAGTTCAGACACATTGCAAAATACTTGTTTCATACTCCTGTGAGAAAATCGCTCTGCTTAGCTCTCATGTACAGAAGAAAAATAAGGCAATTTTAGTCAAGCAACTACGTTAGCGAGAGCTAATTTCTTCACTATTTAAGACAACAGTCAAGAAAAACAAAAAATCAGGGATGAAACAGGATGGTGAAGTCCCATAAAGMCAGACACGACTTTCTGATGGACTGGCAAGTTTTTTGTTTCAACACCATTGCTGACTTGTTTTCAGTAAAGAGCCCAACTCAAGGTTGTTGGCAGCCAGTCACAAATTTTGCTTCATGACATTATACYCTTTAATATAAGAAAAATGTGTGGATTTTGTTTCTTACTCCTCAAATTTAGTTTTTTTTTTAATTTTTTGCTAATCTATTGACCCTTTTCAACTAGCACCTCTACAGCATGGTTCGACTTGGCTGAACTCTGTTCAGCACGATTCGCGTGGGTCTCCATTACACTTCAGTAACAGCGCTAGTGGGTGAGTTCATGGTAAAGTTGGGCGGTCACAGAGTCTGAAAATTGAAGAGACACACCTTAACATCTGGTGGTGGTTATGCTCCATTAAGCTATTTGCTAGGCACCATTAAACATAGTTGAAGAAGATCCCGCAAAGATACGCAACACAACAATGGAGGATTGCGTTGTTTTTACAAACGGCAGATCAGGTTGTAATGAGAGTAGCTCTTGTGATGTAATCAGTGTCTCCACCCCTTAATCAACCAGTGACAAACAGTCCTCTGACGTCGCATTTTCAGGCCAACAATGGTACAAATGGAACCCTATGTTCTGAAAAAGGGCTGGTTCTCCGTTTCCTTGCTATTGGAAAAGTCTTGGAACCACGATGAGCCAAGTCAAACTGTGCTGTAGACTGGCGCTAGTGGAAAAGGGACATAACATTGTGAAGAGTACCTTTAAGAAACCAATTTAAAGCAAGACGAAGATAAGACAACATTCACAAACTGGAACCAGTGAACAAATTTAATTACAAAGATGAACCCACAGTGACAAAACAAGAACAGCTACAGACAAGAGATAACTCTGATAGACTAAGATGTCAGCTAGACCAGAGATAAACAGAAGTGGCAGCGCAAATAATCTATATCACTTTTTAAAATGTCCTTTGAATATTGTAGCAACAAGCAAACATTAGCGAGTTTTGTTGCATAAAAAACAGTTTGTGTACTAAAACTCCGATTAGCCTTGTATTAACAAGGATGATTCTGTTTTCATTTTTCAATTTCTTTAGTTTAAATGTGATTATGACTGACAGCGCATGCAAAGGAAGAGAAAAATACAAACACAAACAAAACTTACACAAATATATAAAAATATGCCATATGATTCAGAACAACAATTGAGGACCGTGGGTGCACTATTTACAGGAGAAGCAGTATGTACCAATATTTACAACAGAAAGACTCAGTTCCCACGTAGTTACAGCGAAATTGAAATAATGCTTCATTTAATAATCTTATTTAGCATAAAGAATACTTTGTAGGGTTTGAGTTAGTTGCTTCAGTGTCATTCAATTGGTTCAAAAAGCTTTTTCTGAGGGGAACATGTTTTCTTGTGCGACAGTAAACCCATTTACTAAAAAACACAATGATCACATTTCCTGCTGCCAAACGACTATATATATATATATATAAAACTATAATGCAAACTGAA